CCTATGAACTGGGCATGAATCACATGGGAGACCTGGTGAGACACTCTCTTGCTTCATTAATGTTTTGGATTTATGATAATTTTTATTCATTAATGGTGATTGTATTAATGATGTTGAAAAGGTCAACAGGATTAAAGCTGATCTGTCTTGAAGAGTAGCTATGAATAGATGATAGATTACTGGCACTTTATGTTTCTGGTTTCCCTATTTTTGTTTTCTGAGTTCAACTTTCTCTGTCTTTATGTTCCGTGTCAGTTTTCATGTTTCAGTGTCTTCATATTTTGTATTTAGCGTCTTTTGGGTGCTTTATCAATTGATGCAGGTTAGATACCTCTAACAAAAACAAATACAAGTTAAGCAGGCTAATATTAAACATATGTTGGGGCACAAATGTATAGTTTCGCATTGCTAATTTTATCTCAGGTATCTTAATTTATTCAGTTAGCATTCATAACATTTCAATATGCTGTGGTAACACTTAAACTGAGTTTAAAAAAAACTATCAAATATTCAAAAAATAAATGATGGTACCTTTGCTTTAACTTTCTGCAGAATGTAAATTAGCAACATTAACTGGTAAAGCACCAAGCTTTACCTTTAACCCTTTAACCCTTTGGCTCTTCTAACCTTTCTTTCCTGATTAGCTGCAGAGTTTTGGTTCTGGCCTTTGAGACTTGACTGGAGTAATGAGATGGTTTCTCCTCTTAGCTCAAATAATCATCAGGCTGACTAGGAACTATTCTCCAGTCAAGACCCTACAGTATATTCCTGAGCCAACTTAATGAATAACCAAAGCACTCAGACTGCATACTGGAATCTCAACCGTTGTCTGGCCAGTGACCTGCTTCACCTTAGTCTATGTTGGAGAATGTTTTTGAGCATTCAGACAGAACTGAGTCCATTCTGTTTATTTATTGACTTCATCTATAGCAAAAGAAACAAATGTGATTCCTGAGAGGAATCAGAGTTGAAAAGGACAGACACAGATTACTCTATATAAAGTGGACAGTGAAACATGTTTACCTTTTTTAACACATTGGTTTTACTTTGCATACTGTCAAGAGTGTTGTTATGTTTTTTAACATGTGCTCATGAAAATCTGAAATGGTAGTTATTTGTTTACATATGATCTCGTGCAACAGCAGGAGCAGCAAACTGAAACTGTTCTCTTTTTTGACTGCTCTCTCCATTCTGTCAATATTAAAAAGGCTCTTATTGTCCTGGAGAGGTTATCCACAATCAACAAATAATTAATACTTATGATTAGTTTGAGGGGAAAAAAATATTTTAAAATGTTCCCAGTCTTTGGGAACATATAAAACGATTGTAGCAAAAATCAACAAAAACTTGAATAATAATATAGCATTTTCATGAATTAAAAATGTCAAGTGTTTTTTATTATTTAATTGAAAGCAACATCAAAAAACTGTCAAAATAATCCTACATCCATTAAATGAACTGGAATTTCTGCATTCAGACAGAAAAGGCTGATTGTAACAGATATTTGTGTCTCATTCCATAATTTGTGTTCTTCCTCATAGACAGAAGAAGAGATCCGGCAGTTTTTTGCGAGTCTCACTCCTCCCACTGACATCCAGAGGGCGCCATCTCCCTTTGCAGGGGCATCAGGTTCTGGCATGCCAGACACTGTGGACTGGAGAGAGAAGGGTTATGTCACCAGTGTCAAGATGCAGGTAAAAAAGAGATCATTTAAATCAGGGTTTGTGTATTAGTGCTGCTGAGAAGAATCAGTTCAATGTTTGCACGAGAAGAATTTCACCATATCCACTTTTACTACTACAAAGAAGATGACTGCCTCTCGTTTACTAAACCCTGAAAGTTCTCTGGGGTTTTTTTGTTTATTTTTTTTATGTTGTGTCATAGTTTTATACCCCAGAAAAGCTGTAACACTGTTGAAAAAAAAAAAAAAACAGAGCACAATGATTTGCAAATCTCATAAACCTGTACTGTATTCACACTAGAACATAGCAATCATCACTGTTTTAAAGCAGTGCATATTTATTTATTTATATTTTTGAATTTTTTATATGATATGATAAGATTATAAAATAAATCATTAGATAACAGGATATTGAGATGTTCAAAGTCTTTACAATTTTATGTTGAGGAACATTCTTCTAAAAAAAATGTCACAGTTCATATAAGCAGGTTTTGGTGAAAAAAATTGGTGAACCCCTGACAGTCTTTACTTCTGACAAACTCTGCCTCTCTAAAATGTTTTTAATGCCCAATCATGTCACTGACCTGTTGCCAGTAACCTTATTATTTGCAAAGTGTTCTTCCAGCTGTTTCTTTGTAGCCTTCCCAGCCTTTGGTTGTCGGTGGCCTAAATTTTTTGAGACAACGTTTGCTACCGTGAAATGCAGAATGAGTTAATATCTGACATGAAATAGTATGAAATAGTTTTTATGGTCTACTATAAATGAAATATTGGATTTGAAAATCATTGCATCCTGTTTGTATTTACATTTTACACAGACATTTACATTTTACACAGCGGAATTTTTGGAATTGGAGTTATAAAAAGTGCTTCTGTGCTCTTAAAGTGGACATTTAGAGGAAGACTTAAGAATATGAGCATGACATTAGTTGTTTGGTTTTTTTGGTTTTTTTATTCAGGGTGCTTGTGGATCTTGCTGGGCCTTCAGTGTTGCAGGGGCCCTGGAAGGTCAGTTAGCCAAGACAACAGGAAAGCTGGTGGATCTCAGTCCCCAAAACCTGGTGGATTGTTCTGGCAAATATGGTAACGAAGGCTGCAACGGAGGCTACATAGACCGAGCTTTCCAATATGTCATCGACAACCACGGAATTGACTCTGATGCTTCATACCCATATACAGGACATGTAAGTAAACATACATGCATGTGTGACCTTATGTGCACACTTCTGTGCTAAAAGAACATTCAGCACTTATTTAAGTGATAATTCCAAGGCAAAAACACAATCTCAGTTAAAATAGTAATTCATCACAATCCCTGTCACCCTCCTTTCATTAATCAGCCATCTCCAGGTTAGTAGGGAAG